AAGGATATTGCTCTAAATTGCCGAATAATTGGTCTGGCTCGATTTCTAATAATCCTTTCCGAGGTTTACCTCAAACAGTGTGTCCTTTTTAATTATGTGGCATGTAGTACATAACCTGCTCCATTACAGATTCAGTTTAAACGCTAACATAGTGATACTCATAATACAGTAATTGCTATACTTTGACTTTCTAACGAAATGAAGTCGCTGTAGAAGCTTATCGTTACTATGAATTCAACTTTAACAAATTGGAAGCTGTTGATACAAGTTAGCTAATATTGAATCCCTTTATTAAAAGGCAAATGTTATTGCGTCCTCTAAGTTATTCTAAAATATTAATTTAAGCAGTGAATGAAAGACTTTTGAGACTTATTTAAGTGTAATTTATGCAGAAACTTATAATTTTCAAAATATAATGCTTTTATCCAATAAGTTGCTCTAAAAATAACGAAATATAATGCAAGTCAGTTAGCTTATTTTTAAAGCATGTTTAATGGAATCAATTATCAGTTTTTATAAGTACAATGAATTTCCATAGGAAATATGTACCAAAAGGAATTTTTTCATGTCATGTGTGTTTTTCTTTATCTCTTGCTCTTATTCAAGTCCATTTGTACCTTTCGTATATTAAACTTAAATTTCGTTTTTTTTAAAATTATTTAATGTATGGAAATAGTAATTCTGCATCATGAATGTAAATCTAACGAAAAATTCCCTGTGTTTACCATGTTATACGTTCCTGTGTTCTACAGAAACGTTTAACATGATAGAACTGTGTTCTACAGTTTTAACACATGTTATACATTTATTTACGTACAGTTCTATCATGTCATAAAACACAGTTCTAACAGAACTGTGTGTTCTACAGTTCTATTATTATTATTACTTCGGAAACATAAATTATATATTTCGTTTAAGTATATATTCCTTTTAAAATTTACTTCAAAATTGCTCGGCTTTGCAAGACAGCTTGTCTCCGACTTTTTTCGTCTTTACAACTATGTTACTTAAGGACTGAAAAAAAATATATAACTATAAACGTTTTGTAAGTGAAAAAGATACTCAATAATTTTCTTCTAAAAAATTTCCTGCTTAAAATCTTGAAGACAAGCTAGGACTAATAGTTTTTTCATTCACCTAGTCAACTTACTAAATTTTCAGCTTCAAGGTATGACAAAAATAGGCCTTGACTTGAGATAACCGAATATTTAAACTAAATAAAAGTGTGAAGGGTAAGGGTAGGAACAAGGATAGGAATTGGGGATTCAAAATTCCCCTCCCCTAGACCGGCTGATTTTTAATTTTTAGCATAAAGATTACACCTCGGAGTTTTCATCTTCATGCCTTTTTGAAATACAGCCCTCAAACGTCTCAAAAGCGTACACAAGGGTGGGGTTTGGGGTACCCCCCCCCTTGCACCGACCAACAGATTTTCAATTTGTACCATACCCAACAGGGCTCAACTACGTCTTTTTTTTTTTACGTTTTGTCTACGTGTTTTTTAGAATTTAACCCTTCCCTCCGCCCATTAAAAGAGGTCTATATACACTATTGCCTTTTTTTCCCGATAAAAGAAGTATGTGCACTTCTTTGGTGGGAAGCTAATATGCAAATAAATTAACTTCAAATGAAATAACCTTTAGATTAAGAAATGATATATCTTGAGTTATAAGTTCGCTTCAATTACTAAAATATAGTTATATTACATGTTCATGGTACTAATTTAAATGTTGAACTTTCCTTTTCCCTACTCTGGACTGTATCTCTAAGAACAGCTTTATAACTAAAAACACAGTTCACTACAGTAATTTGCATTGCTTGATGTGGGATTGCTGCGAAAAATAGAATAAGTATGGAGCAAAATAAAATCAAGCTAACAAAACAACCAAGCACAGAGTGAGCCTCTCATCATCTAAGTATCTAAAGAGTTACTCTCCATATCTAGGTCTTGTTTTAGGTGAAGACATCCTAAAGGCAATAAGTGAGTGTAACACAGATAAAAGGACTTCCAAATTTCTTGTTTGAAGCATTGCGAAAGCTGGACGAATGTTCCTTCCAAGGGACTTCCAACCCCAAGAAATAAAAAAAAAAAAAAAAAAGGGACAGACATAGAGAGAAAATTCAGTAACAAAAACATCAAAGGTAAGAGGAATGGAAAGCTAGAAAAAAATAAGAAAAAAAAAAAAAGAAAAAGAAAGACCAGCTTTTGCAGTTCCCCCTCCCCCTTCATCTTTCTTTCTTTTCGATCCAGAAGTGACTACTTTTTTCGCCGAAGAAAAGCCAAGACATTAAGCTCCCCCAGTGTCCATGGGGTGCTTCGGCAACTATGTTTGACAAATGGGCGGAGGGGTACACACGAAAATACCTCGCGTGCAACTAGGCAGACGGTCATGCTTCTTTACCAACTGTCTGTCTGCCCATGGTGCACGTTCGTTCAACTCCTTAATCCATCTTGGCTTTTCTCTGCCCACCCCCCTTCGACTTCTTGGGTTTTCATTTGGTTGCTTTTTCCACGTCCTTCAGTGGTGGGAAGCAGATCTCCTGCCATTTGGTTTTCGTTCAAGTCCCCACCAAGAAACTCGGTGTCACATGCCCTAAAGGAAGTGATCAGTCTAGGAGAGTTGGGGAGTTTCCCTTTGGTGTTATGGTTCAATGTAATGTAGTCGATTGAAGAAACATACTCTTCCGTTCTTTTACATGGAATATGTTCTTGAAGATGCGTAGTGTCACAATCGCGCATTAAAAAAAATAAAATTTCTGATATGGGAATATAATTTCAATTGATTGACATAAAACTTACGAAAAGTTATCTTAAAATTACACTTCTACTTCGATGCTAAGCCACCTTATATTTTAACCTTAGCTTCAGTTTCGAAAATATCTCTCTTTCCATGTATTTCCTTGTCTCCTTTAGTAGAAGTAAGTTGTAAAGGAATACGTACAGTGGCGCTACGGAGAATATTAAGGCCCCTCTGCAAAGTCAGATTTCTCCTCAGGGGGCTCGCCTTCTTTAGGTGGGTACGGGTGTCACAATCCCGAGGTACCCTAGTGCAGGGATGGCGAACCTTTTTGAGGCGTGGGTCAAATTTTGTTCATATTATTTTTAGTACTAACTCGGGGATCACATTAATGCCCATTTGCTCCAGAGTTAAATTAAAAAAAAATTTTTAATTGAGTATTTTTAAAACTTTTTTTTATTTCCAATGGCATATTACAAGACAACTGAAAACAAAATGAGAAACAGAGAATGTTGACAAAACAAGAAACAACAAAGTAAAAAAAAAATAAAAATAAATTCAAGCATCTTTTGAATTTAATTGGCTTAACGGGTAAAGATAGGCTCTATGGAAGTCTCTTTCTACAAACAACTGAATATAACCTTACAAAAGTGCATTTTATCCGAAGAAAGTGCTTTAAATATGGTTATTTGCTTTGGTTTATCGATTTTTTTTCAACAAACAAAATGTGAGTAAAATTATACACTTTATTTGATATTTTGTGAATACTTTTGCTTTATTTCGAATACTACATACTTTCATGTACATTTGTTGTCATTTGTGTAACTTTGGAACTGTAATGATCAAACTGAAGATATTTGACAGCATTCAAATTGCTTTTGTGTCAATGCAGTGCTTGGAAAAATACAAAAAGAATATAAATAATCCACACAAATTAAAAACCTAAATAAACCCAAGTAAACAAACAAGTGTTTACCTAGCAATCGTGGGTCAGTTGGAAAGCTTGCGTGGGTAAGTGTCTGACCCGCGGGTCATAGATTCGCCATCACTGCCCTAGTGATCTTTTCCTTTTCCCAAGGGATTTACTATCTTTGGTAAACACGGGTGTCACGACCCCGGGGTACCCCAGTGATCCTTCTCTATTTTCGACCCTCCATCTTGTCATCAAATTTCTTTTCTTCTTTTCCCGTCCAGACCACAGACCTATGAATGTTTGGCGCAGTATAGTCAAAACTGGCTCTTGCACCATAAAACACTCAACTCAACGCAAAGTCAGATTTTGGACCCCAAACCGGATCTTACAAAGGACTGCAGAACCAAAACATAACTTAGGTCGTAGGCCCCTTAGAATACTGCTCCCCGCGATGCGGGGGGTGTACATTACGCCACTGAATACGTATCTCAAACATGGTTTTCTTCATATATTAATTTTTTTCTCAGTTGTATGAAGAGTCTGTAGACGATAAAGTAAAAATTTTCAAAACCTCCAGACTGACCACCTGATCGGGACATCTGCTGACGCGTCTCAGCGCTCAAAAAGGTCACGTATACTGGGATGGGCACAGTTGGCTTTGATCCCCATGGGTTGTTGCGCCATTGTTTAGTTTTGTCTTGAAAAAGTGATGCAGTTTGTCTGTGGTACTGAAATGCCTAAGTGCCTTTGCAAACAATGTGCCTTTTTTTTACCATTTTTGTAGAAAAAAAATTGACCGCTTAAAGGATTAATAAACTTTAATTCATTGCAATATTAAACATATAGTTTAATTTTGAAATATTGCTCAGAAAAAAAGAACGGAAGAAAAAAATGCACAGATATTTAATTTTTAAAAGAATTTTCAATTGAAGTAATATAAAAGCTCTTTGAGAGAATATGTGCAGATATATTTTAATTCAATTAAAACTGCATAAAACTTATAATGCTGCCTTTTACTGGGGGTCTGAAAAATAAAATATAACACATAAATTCTTTTAATTATGTTTCTGTCAAAAATGGTAAATGAAAACGAACAAGTAATATAAAAAAAAAATTTTAAGTCAATTCCTACTTAGGTCAACAAAGAAAAATTACATATGACAGAATCACAATATTAAGTGACAAAATAGAAAGCGATTTTCCTTGCAATTTTTTTCATCTTCATTTCTATAAATGGTGTTGGACTGTTTTTTTTTTTTTTTTTTTGTAACTATTTATTCATTAATTTAATTTAATTATTCTAGTAAAATAGAATAGTAAAAAAGAAATTACATACTCAGAAATTAGGCCATCCCAGATGGAATTCAAATCCACGACCTTTGGATAAGAAGTCCAATGTGTTATCCATTGTGCTACAGGGACACAACGAACGATTTTCTTTTCTATATATGCTATTGGACTATTATTTTGTTTGTTTTCATTTATTCATTTTTTAATTTAACTAATGAAAACGTTTGAAAAAACAGTATTAACATCAAGTGTCACCCACTACAAGTTTAGAAACTGCATTTGAACTTGAATGGATGAATAGAAAGTATTTTATTAACGATTGAAAATTTGAACAAGATATATATATATATATATATATATATATAGTGAGAGAGAGAAAGAGAGAGAGAGAGATAGGTCTCTTTTTTAAGACTTAAAAGACTTTAAATATATGTAATTTCACAACATATAACTAACTCACTTAAGAATTGCTTCTAAGGTTTCAAATCTTTGTTTTAAAATATAAATAAATATTGTGTTTATCTAATCACACTATTTACTTATTACTCAGATAATTCTTAATCATATCTACCGCGATGCTTACTCGTGTATTATTTTTTTATAAATAAATATTACAGTCCTCCAAATCATCTGTTTCTCTGTCTGCAAAAAAAGACCCCAGTGAAGTAAAGACCTTGTGTCTGAACTCAAAAAACTCGAAAGATAAGTGCCTTAGTCAAACACTTCACCTTGCCTATCTCTCCCTTGATATTTGGAACCCACTTCACGAGGGTATTACAACACCTTTATTTTCCTTCTGGGCATCTGGATAAATTTTCCTTTTTTTACTCACGTAAGTGATATAAACTATATAATCAGTTTTATGAAAACAAGTATGTGATATCACTGAAACATAAAGAAAACGTGTAAAAAAAAAGAGAGTTCGTGTTTTGTACGGAAGGTAAAAAACGGCCCAAAACCTTATTACAATTGTTTTGGCCTATAAGAGAATTAAAAAGATATTATTTTTCAACCCAATACTAAAAATATTTGTGTGTCACCTCAATATTCTGAAGAAATTTAACAGGATGTTTAAAAGGAATCTGAACGTATCCATTCACAGGCGTGACAAGATTGGATAGGTTTATGTCGCATAAGCAGTGGCGCACACAAGGGGGGAGGGGTCCTGGGGGTCCGGACCCCCACAAAGCCCTTGATTTTTTTCCTATTGTTTATAATTCTATGTATATAATTCGCAAAATTTAATTAAATATTTGTTATTAATGACTAATTTTATTAATTAATGTTATAATTATTTATTCAATAATTAGTTTTTTACTGTGTTTTGTTCCTGAAAATCGACAAAATCAAAAACAGCATGATACAAGAATGGTGAACTTTCGACCCCGGACCCCCTCCCCCTCCTTGAAAAATTCCTGTGTGCGCTACTGTGCATAAGCACAATATTACGTAATATAAACACTTGATATATTCCACATGATTTATTAGAAGGCAGTTATATAAATATGAATTCACAAATTTTTAAATTATCTTGAGTCATACTCACGTCTGAGTAAATTAGCAATTAATCAATGTTAGAGAATAACTTGTTGATTAATGTGATGTGACTGGCTCTTATATATTTGCTTGTATTAATATTCTCTCAACCTACATGATGGTTACCTACAACGGGCATCATACCTTAGATTTTTGGACGATCCCCTTAGCCCCAGATCGAGGATGACCTCCTGAATTGACACCTGCCTGCCCCAACATCCAGTGGCGTACACAAAAGGAGTAGGGGTTGGGGGTCCACCCCTCCCGTAGACCAACAGATTTTTACCATAGAGATCACCCCTTGGCGTCTTT